GAATTCCAGACCTCTCCCTTCACTCTGTGTTCTTACATTCTGTCTCCTTACCTACAGGATGGGGACAATAACCACTGCACCGACAGGCTCTTGTGAGGATGAAGGAGACCAGCCACATTGAGTAAGCACTACACGGTGTGTTAATTTCGTCATTGCTCCTCCTGGATTCATCCATGAAAACCCCAGATCCTGTCCGAGAGAGAGAGGATTCAGGTTGTGGAAATCCCGTGAGCTAGGAGTTGTGAAGTCAAAGGCAGCTCTGGAGAGAACCCACCTTGCATTGACCTGCAGTGTGTCCATGGCAGACATTGTTGGAGCACCTTTCACATCCCCTGGACACCACCCACTCCTGATTCTACTGCTGCACTAGACAGTTCCCATATACCAAGCAGGCCTGACCTTGGACACCTGTATCCTTCCCCCTGAGGCTACATGCTGTCCAGAAACATGCTCTGCCAGTGTGTGGGACAGCCCAGTAACACCAGAGATGTTGATGAACTAAGACAACCAGGAGTAGCTCTCAACCAAGAAGGGGCAGGAACTAGTGGTAAATGCCCCAGCTTCTTTGCCTCCTGGTGAGGGATTCTGAGGAGTGTCACACACGCCTCTCAAATCATCCCCAGCAGGGCTGAGTCCTGGTTGCCCACAGCAACACCCATCAATTACCTATCACCGATGACTCTGCTCCCTTCCCTGTCTCCCATTCTTTCTCTCTCGCTCACTGTGCTTCAGGGGTCACTACCCAAAATATTGCCTGCACCCAAATCCTTCTCTCAAGGATTTCTCAGAAACAACGAAAATGTTGTTCTCTACCCAGCAGGCGTCCCTCGGTTCCCGACTCCACGTCTGTCTCTGAAATAAGCAGGAGTGAGAAGCCACACGACCCACACATCAGTTTATCCAACCTTTCAGTGGAGAAACACCGGCGAGCGTCCTCAGCCCTCCCAGGCAGATCACACAGATGCTGAGAGCTGGCCCTACAAACTTCACGTCTGCCCCCCACCCCAGAGACTCTCAAAGACTCTACATCTTGGGGCTAGTGCTCTGTGAGGTCAGATGCACACTCTGGCTCCTTCCCCCGCAACAAAAGGGAAAGATTGGACGTCCACACAGAGCTCGGTGGGATCCCCTGCAGAGTCAGGCTTCCTTCCCTGCAAATTATTTTTTGCTAATCAATATGTTTAATAAATAATATTCCAGTTGATTCCATTACTGGCAATACACAAATCAATAGAAGGTTATTGCATGATAACTTCCCATTGATATTGTAATCCTCCTGATTTAATAAATGTTGCTTTTTCTGAGCATTGCTGTTTGCATTAGGAATTGAGGGAAGGAGGATGGAAAAAATACTAACTCCATTACGAAACTGGGGCTGGAGTTTAATAAAAACAGCTCAAGGAGAGTGAGTGGGGCTTCTTGACGTCCGTCTACAGTAGCCCGCGCGGCGGCCCGGCACTGCCCGGATCGGGGTTAGCCTCTTTCGTTGGATTCCAGAGCAAAATGTAGGAAGAGTCTTGGCTGGAAGGTTTTCCAAACACGCCTGAGTAGGGGCCTGACCTTTTGTTTCCTTTGCAAATCCTGACCAGACACTCCCCCAAACAGGAAGGAGACGGATGGTGGAAAATCATAAGCCTGGGGTTTACAATCTGTTCTCAAATCCCAGAGGTTCAAAGCCACAAGGGTCTTTGGCAGTTGTCTAGTGCAGAGTCCCCGTTACCTGGCCATGAGGAAGGGCATCAGACTCCTCAGGGAAGCTGGTGACAACACCCTGGAGTCCCAAGGTCTCCTGGAGGCGATGACCCAGGAGGGCTGCCATGGAGCTTGGCAAAATGCATTTTGCATTTTTTTTTATTGAAGCAGGACATGTTATTAAAGAACAAACTTTAAAAAGACAATATAATCACGGCTCTGATACAAAGACCAAGTGAAGATCCGTGGGAGATTTTATTTCCCTCATTCCTTAGTTAGGGAACCAGTAAGAGGTAATGACAGATTCAAAGGAGATCTCAGAGGACCACACTCTTATAGTTGATCCCATTCAGGCTGGAGTGAATTCACGAATTCAGTGGGAGAGACAGAACTTTCCTGTCCACAGACAGGCACCATTTGCATTCCTATCAGTTACCTAGGACCCATGGAGGCATGAAAGGGCTCACAGACAATGAGAGGCACCAAGCATCCCAGAATCGGATCACCCAGACCAGGCGTCCGAGTACAGTTCTGACCTGATGAGGAGCTGGGTCAGATTTCACAGGGGAAGTAAGGGCACCGCACCCCACAGGCCACCCTCACGCCAGCCACCAGCCACCAGCTCGGGATGACAGATTACAGCTGCCTTAGTGGCTCAGCCTCCTCTCACAAGATGTTAAGGATTAGGTGGCTTAAACAATAAATATTTATTTCTCACAGTGACCTTGGCATGTAGGCTGAGAAGTCCAGGATCAACATGATGATGGAGTCTGTGTCTGGTGGGAGCCATCTTTCTGGCTTAAATGCGAAAGTCTCTCTGTGTCTTCACATGGGAGAGAGAGACGGGGAAGTAAGCTCTCTCATTTCTCTTCTTATAAAGGGCACTAATGTGATCCATTAGATCCATGGAGGGCTTCACCCTCATGATCTAATCACCTCCAAAGGTCCCTACCTCCAAATACCATCACACTGGGGAGTGCGGTTCTCATATAGGAATTTCAGAGCACATAAACATTTAGTCCATAGCAACAGCTTTATTATAAAGGAAACAAATCAAAATTACCCAAAAGAAGAAAAACATAGGATGATTCCAGGGAGAGCTCCAAACGTTGGGGTCCTCAGGATGCATCACCTCCTGGCTTACAGACTCCATTTCAAGAACCAGGGACAAACACCACCCAAATTCTTTATGATACAACAGGTGTGTTAAAGACCTCAATTTCCATTCGAGGCATCCAGTAATCTTTTGGTTCATGTCAAAGTATTTCCTAATTTCTTCCTACATACACACAGAAAACTATGCAAATCATGGGAGAATACTAACAGGAATTTTCACAAAATGAGCAAATGCATACACCCAACATTCAGGGCAAGAAGTGGAATGTGTTCAGCACCCAGAGAACCCCTTCTTGTCACAATACCCCCCACCACCAAGGGTAACCATCTGATTTCTTTTTTTTTTTTTTTTTTTTAGGATTTTATTTGAGAGAGAGGGTGAGTGAGAGAGAGAGAGAGAAGCAAGCAGGGGGGGGTGAGTCAGAGGGAAGGGGAGAAGCAGGTCTCCACCGGGCAGGGAGCTCAATGTGGAGCTCAATCCCAGGACCCCAGGATCATGATCTGAGCCGAAGGCAGCCGCTTAACCGACTGAGCCCCCCAAGGGCCCCCATCTGATTTCTAACACCATAGATTCATCGAGCCTGTTTCTTACCTCCATATAAATGCAATCATTCAGGAAGAATTCTTGTGTCTAAGTATGTTTTGCTTGGTGTCATATTTGTAGTTATGGTCATAAATAGTTCATCACTTTGCTGTATAGTATTCTGTAGTGTGGAAAATGCACACTCTAGGAAAAACAACCAGGTTGGATAATCTCACTTGGTTCAGTGCCACACCTCTCCTCAATTTATAGATGACGAAACCAGAGTCCCATAGAGGCAAAGTGGTTATCCAGGAGAGAAGCCTTGTTCCAAAGACCATCAAAGCCCTCATGGGCATGTGCCAAGCCATGGGCACGTTGGGATGGAAGCAAGGGGCAGATGGAAGACGGCAAGATGAAAGAAAGGGGAAAAAAAGAACAGGATGGAAGGCAGGAAGGAGAAAGGGGACCTTGGAAAGGAGTGGGAGGAAGACAAGAGTGAGAGGGAGGCATGGACAGACAAAATGACAAGGAAGGGCTGGATGTAAGGGAGTAGAAGCAGGAGAGAGGCACCTTCTCACCCCAAGGACAGTGTCTTTACCACTCAGCCCTGTGAGAGTTGGAGCTGTTGGCCCTCTGGAGTTTTCCTCATCTCCTTGTCTCCCCCGGACTTCCTGTATCCAGCCAGTGGAAAGTGGGGGCTGTGTTCCCCTCCTGTAGTCCCCGGGAGAGCCAGGATTGTGCAGACTTTCACTGGTACCATCCAGGGTCCAAATTGCCTTCCTGGAGCCCCCACTAAAATGTGCTGCCTGTACCCGGGTAGAAAGCCCAGGACAAAGCTCCAGTGTTCACCTTCCTCCTCCTACAGGAAGGGAGGAATCTGACCCTCCAGCAGACCTGAAAACAGAGTTGGGAGAAGCAAGGCGTCTACCAAGCAGCTACTCCATATTGTCTTGCCTAACCTTCCCCCCAGCCAGGTGAATTAGGAATTCCGAGCCCACTTTTCAGATAAGGAGATGGTGTCTAAGACAGTTTGAGACACTCGTTCAAGCAGAATAAGAATAAAAGGGATTTTCCTCAAGAGTTGTATGGATCCAGGAAGACTGTGTGGGGGAGGAATGTGAATTTTTGGTATAACATGGCATGCTTGGGGCTGACTGGCTAAGCTGGAATTCTGACTTCAATACCAACTAGCCAAATGAACTTAGAAGAACCTATTGATCTCTCTGGATCACAGATTCTTCATCTGTAATATGAGGAGAATAATAGCACTTGGAGCACCTGGGTGGCTCAGTCAGGTATGCATCCAGATCTTGGTTTGCACTCAGGTCATGAGCTCAAGATCGTGGGATCAAGCCCTGCATCAGGCTCTGCACCCAGCACAGAGTCTGCTTGAGATTTCCTCTCCCTCTTGTTCTGCCACTCTCCCTGCTCGCACTCTAAATAAATAAATAAACAAAATCTTAAAAAAAAAAATAGTACTTAATTCGTGAGGCCACAGCAAGAATTATCTAATAATATACAGGAAAGATGATTAAGACTGTTCGTGGCACATGACAAGTCCTTACTATGAGCCGTCATCTCTGTATCTCTCCTTGTATCATCAGCATCAGCAGCAACACCATCTCCATCATCATCTTCATGATTGATGGGAAGATCGTTGGCATTGTTGGCGTTCTTATACTATAACGGTCCAAATAACTCTGGGCATTCTCTCAGCACCTGTCAATCAGTGTACAAAGACATTCCTTGGGGATCCCCAAAGCCCATGTCTATGATAGCAAAACCCCAAGCAAAGCTGGGGTGCTGGGTAGAGGTGGTGCCTTTGTGCAGACCCCAAGTCCAATCTTGTTCGCCTCTCCTCCTTTCTCATCTAACTATGTAAATTGACCAGGGCAGCCGCCCCGGCTTGCTTCTTGACCCTTTAGTCCAGCTCCCACTCAACTCAGTTCCACAACTCAGTTTTGCAAGTCTTAACTGTGAAGAAAGGAATCCGGGGGGGTCCAACTTGTCCTTTCCAGTTCGCCAGGACAAATCACAGAGAGCTAGCTGACTAAGTTGTACGTGAACTGCCTCAAGTTCCCGAGTCTAGTTTGGGTCCAACTGAACCATGACTAAAATCTGAGAGACTAGAAAAGAGATGCAGAGAAGAGAAGCCAAGAGCAACTGTGAACCGAGATACAAGTGACTTCTCAGGTCCTCCAAGTCCTGTAAAGCCCACATGCACTCTGGGTTCTCCTCTCAGCTGTGCATCACCTTATGTAGCTGGTGCTACCGGTCCCACATCTGGGTCCCCTGGATCAGGCTGATGCATCCATCCTCCAGTCATTCTGCATAAGGCCTCACAGTGACACCAATTCCATGGTACAATTGACACAGCAGGGCACCCCCCTAGGATCAGGCTGGAACTAGTATCCACCTGGAAATCACACCCTTGTGGGGGTTTTTTCCTTCCCCTGCCCTGTCTTGCTTTCCTTTTCCTTTCTCCCTTTCTTTCCCTGAGAGCACTCCTTCATTACATTATTTCCTCAAGAATCCCTGTCTCAGGCTCTGCTTCCAGGAACCTGAACTTAGACACTTTATCATGTCTGTTCCCACTTTAGCAGCTCTGGGGAGATTCCTATCCTATGCAACTCAGAGCTCTGGGGGCACTTCTTTAACTAGTTAACATTATGTAAGCTTTCCTTCCAAGTCATTGTTTTATAACAATGTCTCCTATAAGGGGTAGATGTCTGGGTGGCTCAGTTGGTTAAGTGTCTGCCATCCACTCAGGTCATGATCCCAGGGTCCTGGGATCGAGCCCTGTGTCGGGCTCCCTGCTCGGCGGAGAGCCTGCTTCTCCCTCTCTCTCTGACTTTCTCACTCTCTCTCTCTCAAATAAATAATTTCTCCTATATCCATTATATGGTTAGACCAATGTTTACTTAACTTTTTCCTGTTTTTGAACGTATGGGTGTTTTACAATGTTCTGTTATATCCAGTACTGTGACAAAGACATTTAAATCTCAAAAAATAAAACATATATGTAAATAAAGTCTCTTTCATTTAGCATATTTGGTCAAGGTAAAATTCAAATCCCCTCTTGGGGCTCTTTGCCACCTTCTGTATCCCCCTGTTTTAAAGAAATAGTGTATTAATAGAAAAGTGGAGGTACAGTAAAGGCAACAGGTCAGGAGACAGACAATTGCCATCAACATCAAAAAGAGTGTGTTACTCCATTTCCAAGAGGAGGAAGCATGCCACACCATGGTGGAGAGGGAGCAGGGGACACACACAAAAGCCCCAGGGCTGGTCTGGAGGCAGAGGAACTATGGACAGGAACCTCTATTACGGTTTCTATAGGAAGGTGTCAATGAGGCAGGGCAAGCAGTTTTAGGATTGGCTAATTTAAATCATTTCACTGGTTTCTGGGGCCCAGGGGCTGCCCCTCGTTGTCTGATACCTAGTCCTGGCACCATTAAGGTAAGTGGATAGCAGCCTGAAGTGTGAAAGCCCAATAAGGAAGAATGGAGGGTATGGGCTCTGGACTGATTGGTTTGTATTATAAAAGTGCATCCCCAGGGCGCATGGGTGGCTCCATTGGTTAAGCATCTGCCTTCAGCTCAGGTCATGATCCCCGGGTCTGGGAACAGAGCCCAGCATTGGGCTCCCTGCTCAGCGGGGAGTCTGCTTCTCCCTCTGCACTCCCCACCTGTTTGTATGCTCTCTTGCTCTCTCTCTCTCTCTCTTTCTCTGTCTGAAATAAATAAATAAAATCTTCAAAAAAAAATTTGCATCCCTGTGAGAACAACTCTGAGAAAGAGTGGGTGGGTGGGTGACAAGGGAGGCAGGAGGCCAAGGCAAGGTGACTCAGCCATGTGATTGGGTGGTGCAGAACAAGGCATGTCTGGCATATGCATGCAGTGTAAATGTGGAAGGGCCAAGTTTACAGTGACTGGGAACATTTTTAAAACACCCTGTGGCCCCTGCTCCTTCCGAAAGGACAGATGCAGACTCACATCATTGCAATGGGACATGGGTCTCGGTCTCATCCCTGGGCATCATGCTGATATCTACCTGGGTGTGGACTGTCCCACCCGGTTTTCTGGGGGCTTTCCATTGGTACCCGCTGCTGAGGTCTGTAGCCACAGCTTCTGGTCCTGAGGTCCTGCACGCTGCAGGCTCTTTACCCTGATTCAGACCTTCATATCCAGATGTGCCCTAGACACATGAGTGTCTCCACCGGGGCATGCAGAGTCTCTCGGGGGTCATAGAGCTGGAGGCGGCTATCCTGGCTATATCCCCCTGAATTCTTCTCTGGTTTCTGATCTAGCCACTCTGTCATGCCCCCAATACCTTACTGAACTGGAGACTTCTCTAAGGGGTTTGGACTGTCCCCCCATAACACTAAAATCCTTAAAAAACAAATAAATCCTGGAGTTCCCCCTAGAAAGTTCTGGTTGTTTCTAATACATCCTGGGGTTTTATGCCCACTTTTTGGACATCTTTATTCTAATCTGCATCTTTTTTATTTTCTTGGGAAGCTTCATAGCTTAGCCTTCATGGTAGAATTTCCAAGGTAAGAAACTGATGAAGAAATAAGATAAAAGTATTACTTCCCAAAAATATGTTGGAAAACATTTTTAGAATATTAAACCTCATTTTGTAATACTGGCATCATTAGGATGATTCTATTAACTGTCACCGTGTATTAATTACCCATGAAATGTTCACTGTTGACATACATTATCTCAAGTCCTCTGCCAGATTGAAGATTATCATCTGCATTTTGCAAATAAGGAAGATGACGCTCTATGTGGTTAACCTGTTTGAAGTCATGGATCCACTGGAAAGAAGGCAGTGCTGGAATCAAATCCAGCCCCCACACTAGAACACTCCTGCCCCTGGTTCACTGTGCTTTGTGGGACAAGTGGCTTATTATTACTCGGAGTTTTGTTGTTTGACAGGAAAATGCAGCCTTAGCTCAGACACCCAACATGGGGACTGGGCCCCCGAAGAAGGCTGCCCTGGACGCCTGATTTCCCATCTATGTTACCCTGGCCACCAGGTGACAAGTCTCTCCTCCCCAGTGTGATCTCCCCAGCAAAAAGGGTCTTTTTGCCTTTTATCCTGGCTCAGAGTCAGGGTGTCCTTTGGTATGAATTCCAGACCTGGGATCAATTACACAAAACACTTCAGAGGCACCCACAAGGCAGACCCCTTTGGAAGGAAATGGGAGGTCTCCAGGGGAACATCCCCATGGGTCATCAATAGGGTAATGACTGGGACTTTTTTTGAGAGTCAAAGGGGAAGTATTAAAAATTGCTCTGAGACAACCTGTATAAACTGGGACTGTGTACGCAGAGCACCGGGTCACCCCAGCCCTAGGTAGAGCCAGTGGGAAACAAGCAGCAAGATTCCCCCTGCAGCATTTTAAATCCCAGCAGAACATCCTGCCGGAGGGCTTTCCCCCCCAACTATTAGCATTATTAGTGCCCGTTAAATATGTCATAGTCAAAGATTTGCTTCATTCTTCAGCGTGATTGCCATTGATTTTTGAAACCCACATCTTCTTCCCCAGGGACACACATCTTCAGCGAAATGATAGAAGGAAATGGAAAAGAAGGATTAGATTTATAGGCATTCATTTTACAGGCATTGCTTTGGGGGTAGAGTAGGTCTTAAAGCCGCGCTCCTCCGAGGACCGTCCAGGAACCACCTGCAGCAGGATCACCAGGATAGTTGTAAACATGCTGATTCCCGTGTCCTGCAGAGGACTCACGGCCAAATGGATCTCCGGGGATGGGGCTAGGAAACGCGTGTTGTTTTTTGTAAAGATTTATTTTATTTATTATTTTAGAGAGAGGGGGAGTAGGGGGAGGGGCAGAGGGCGAGAGAGAATCTGAAGCAGACTCCACACTGAGCACAGAGCCTGACGCAGGTAGGGCTCATTCTCAGGACCCTGAGAGCACAACCTGAGCCAAAATCAAAAGTCAGATGCTTAACCGACTGAACCACCCAGGCACTGTGGGAAATGCATGTTTTTAACAAGACCCCTGGAGGTTCTTATGTGTATTGAAGCACATGGAAGGCCGCCACCCCGGGAAATCCAGGTAGCCGGTGAGCACGCAGTGATTTTGGTCCTCGAGCCTCAGGCTGTGGGACCTCAGGTCTGAGATGACCAGCAAGGGCTCCCATCCCTTCAGGGAAACATTCAGGGCAGCCCCCAGGCAGGATGTCAGATGGAGCCCCAGATTCCCGGCAGATACGCCAGCCCTGGTTTACAGCGTGTAGAGGTGGCTGGGTCTCCTTGCGGAGTGGGCAGGTTCTTGGCGGTGGCATCTGCCAGGAGGAGCGGGTAATAGGCCTGATTTATGACACTCAGCATGGGACCTGGCTGCTGAGCTCAATCACTGTGGCTCCCCATGGTGGGGTTCATGCGCTGTAACGGGCCTGGAAATTGGAGAGGAATTTACCTCCTGCTGCTGAACATTACATAACAATCACGGCAAACAAGCAGAGGCAGGAGGGGGCCTCGTCCTCAGCTGGCACTGGCAGCCTGGCACTGCAAAAGAAGTAAGCCCGGGAGCTGTCTGCTGGGGTCGCGTGCCCTCAGCAGCACTCCTCTGGGAGGGGGTGCCCTGGTGGCCCAGCCAGAGCTGGCACTGGGGCCTGCCAAGGAACAAGCCATGGGCCAGCGTCTTCTGGAAGGGATGGGTGAAGAGGCAGGCTCCAAGTGGGAG